CCGCGCTAGCCCCGCCCCCAGGTGCCGGAAGGGGCGGGCGGGCGGGGCCGTTGCTGAGTCCTCGGAGCGCGTGCGCAGCACGTTTTCCGCCCTACCTCCGCGGCCTGGCAATCTGCCCTGCGAAGGCAGGTGCTACAGTGGGTTTACCGGGAGGAGCAACTCTGGGACCCTCGGGAGCTTGTAAAAGCGGGGGGAACCTGTTGGGGGACATAGACACACCTCCAGACCTCCAGACCCTCTGCCCTTGTTGGGGGGCTGCACGACTCAGCCTCCTCCAGCCGGGACACCTCTGGAGCAGTGGCTGTGTCTCTTCGCGCTGCCATTGGTCCTTTGCCCCGAAGGTCGGGGCAGCTTTACCCAAAAGCCAGGGGATCCTGGTACCCCTTCCCTCCCCAGCCTGAGCTCACCACTGCTGGCCAGAAATCACGACTGGGTCATGTCCTATAGCTCTTTATTGGGTGGATGGCGCTCACCCGAGTGTATCGCTTTGGAGGCTTCCTGGGTTATGGAGCCCTGGATGCTGAAGCCCTTTGGCCGATTCCTACTCGTAGCTTCCCAGGTTCTTCTGGTCTCAGGAAGCAGCGCTCCAGTCGTGTGGCTTCTCATGCTCCCGTTGTGCTTGAAAATGTAGGGTAGGGAGATTTAGGCTGTGAGCTTTCTGAGAGCAAGGTCTGCGCGGCCTTCAGCCCTGGGCCTGGATGTGGCCAGGCTGGCCGCCACACTCCAGCCTGTGCAGCCATGTTTGAAGCAGGCCCCACCTCCAAGGTTCAGGGTCCCTGTGGTCAGCCCCTGCCCTAGGCACACGTCCTGGGGCAGGAGTTTTGATCGTAGTCTGGCTGGGTGTTTGGGTACCCTGGATGTTCAGTGAGGGCCCCAGGCCTCTCACCAGGACGTCTGGCTTCTGTGGGGACACACTGGCCAAGGAAGTGTATCTCAGCCCAAAGTGGCAGAGGGGCTTCTCTGCAAGAGATTGGATGGAGCAGCAGGACTCTGGGGGCCAGGATACAAGTGAGCTCCACCCTTCTGACCAGGAGCTGCCGGAAGGATTCCCGGGTCATGGGCCAAGAGTGGGTTCTGGAGTCACACGGACTACCCCACCCTCCCTCCTTTGCCTTATCCCCTCCCCGAACCTCAGGGGTGCCCCTCTTTGGGAAAGAATTCTCAGTTGTTGGTCTTGTGTTGAGGGCAGCGACCAGGTCTTACTCCTCTCTGCCCAGTCGATGCTCAATCAATATTTGTTGAAGGGACTCCACCCTGGGATTCTTGCTAGGAGAAGATGGTGTCAAAATTCCCAATGTTGGCTGACAATTTTATCCCTTAAATGTTCAGAAATTGGGCCTATAAGGGGTTACACAATGTATCAAAGCCCACCTACCTACCCCTGAAGTGAGGTGAAGTCTGCAGGGCCAGGTGAAACGTGTGCTAACATTTTCCTTTCCAAACAACAGCTAGGGTGCAGCCAGGTAGCGGACTGGATAAGGGGCCAGGGGACAATGGGGGTCTTTAGGATACTCACAGAGTCAGACTTTTCCCTTTTTTTTTTTTTTTCATAGGTTTTTACCTTAAGCTATATGCACTCACTGGAGACAGCGACAGAGACAGTGAGAGGGAAGGTGAAAAATCACCACCTGGGGCGATGGCCAGGCCACAGTCCCTTCCCCTCCACTCTCCTGGGGTCTTGGGCATGCACGCATATGTGCCCAGTGTGAGTTTCAAGCTACCAGAGGTCTGGGACTCAAATGGGAGTCCAGCGATGTAACCACTACGCCATCTGCTGGTCCCTAGCGAGAGTCAGACTTCTAATGGAAAGATATTTTAACTGATCTGGACTAAGTTTTTTCAAGACTTGGAGGTGGTGAACAATTTGCCCACATCATGGTAAGAGTCAAATGTGAATTGGTTTCTGTCAGCGGCGAGTCCTTTGCTTTGGCCTCTGCACTACCGCCTGTGCCCACCAGGGGGCACTGGAGGACACAGGCCATCCCCAAGGATGCTTATTCATGCGGACCTGTGCAAGAGGAAGACTGGTCTTGGATGATGGAGGCAAAATGGATCCCCCTGATAAGTTTTTCTTGCTGGAGCTGGCTTGAGCCTGAGTCAAAGCAGAGCAGCTCTCCTGAGCCAGAGCAGCTCCTGCCAAGCCGAGAGGAAGGAGGAGGGGGAAACTCACTCCAAGCCTGTTTTCTAGCTTTATTGGTTCACGGAGTTTATGACCTGCTGGAGGCAATGTTTCTTGTGTGTAATCCAAACAGACTGCGTTCCCAGTTCCCATTCCTTCGGTATCCTGCTGGGGCAAGCCTGGGCTGATGACAGCCAGCCCCTGGATGATGACCTCAGGGAAGGACGCCCGCACTGTGGGATTGGTTCTGACCTGCAGGCCATGGACTCAGACCACCAGGGAGCAGAGTGGACTGCAGCTGGCCCAGCCAGCTACTTACCCAGGGTCGACACCTCTAGCAGCAGGGAGAAGAGGGGACCCAGGAGGACAGGGGAGGGGAACAGACAGCAGCCCCATCGTCACAGTGGTCCTCTAGCCACCATTGCATGCCTTCCTCTCCCCAGCCTTCCCCAGACCCCAGCACTAATCTTCCCCTTCAAGGACACAGGTGGGCACAGGAGGGAGGAAGAGCTAGAGCAGGCCCTGTGGAGATTGCGGGGGTCCCCTCAGACTGCACTGATTCAAGGACCCAAGCCGGGAGTTCCTCTCCTGCTCTCAGCACAAGTGCTGGGACCTTCAACCTCCCAGGCCTGCATCCGGATGATTGACGGCCACGGTCAGCATGAGGTCCAACAACCTGTAGGGGAGTGGTCACACCCTGGCCTTGGCCACCCCAAGGGTCAGGGTTGGGAAGAGGGAGCAGCAGGGACCTGGAGGGAGGGTGAGCTCTTCAGAGCCTTCTAGAGGGCAAAGAGAAGACGTCGAAGACATCTGGTGGGGCTTGAGGCCTGGTGTGTGGAGTTGGAGGACAGCAGAGGGAAGTCGTTGAGCCGAGCAGGCTGTGCCAGTCCCGCCTTCCAGGCCCCAAGTTCCAGGGCTCCAGAAACAGGAGGGCCTGCTCCTGGATGCTGCTGGTCGCAAGGACACTAAGTGGTCAGAAGCCAGCCTCCAAGGTCCCAGCTCCTGGCTGAGGCCCAGCTTGCAGAGTCCGGGCAATTTCTGACCCAGGCTTCCTGGGCTGCCCTTCTCTCCAGCCCCTGGTGACGCAGCCGGAGGTGCCAATCCTGGGCTGAGGCATTGGCACTCACTGGCCTCAGGTCTCAGAGGCTCATCACACGTGTCCCTTGGGACTCAGACGCTGGTCACATACATGATCTCAGGGTACTGCTGCTTCTTGGAACTGTCTTTGCCTTCCAGGGTGAGACTGCACTCCGAGGTAGCCTCTGCGATGGCTCCTCCAGCCTTGGCCTGCCTGCCTGGCCCATTCTTCCTCTGCAGGGCATAGAAGCTGCCACCCATGAAGAGGGCAGCGGAAATGAGGAAGAAGCTCGACATGTAGAAGACATAGCTGAAGTTTCTGGTGGTGTCCAGGAGGAGCCCTGAGGGACAGGGAACAAGTTAGGTCACTGCCCAGGGGTGCCCAGCCTCCCCAACTGAACCGTGTGCTCTATGACAGCAGGGACTGTATTTTTGACTCTGATGGGTCAAGAATCATGGCTGGCACCCAGTGTCCACTCAATAAATGAGTATATTTTTAATTTTTATTTAGTTTTAGTTTTTGCTAGAAGGCACATGCTGGGGACACACAGTGAGAGAGAGAGAGAGAGAGCGAGTGAATTAGAAATTATTCCCCAGCAGGGCTGGCAGGTGACACAGTGGTTGAGGGTGCTGGACTCCTACATGGCCGACTGCAGTTTGAGTCCCAAACCTGGCAGCTCTCTCTCTCTCTCACTCTAGCCCTCTCTGGTCAAATTAAAATAAATAAATAGGGACCAGCAGTTAGCGTAATGGCTATGTCGCTGGACTCCCACATAGTTGACCGCGGTTCGCATCCCGGACTCGGTGGCTTAAACTCACGCCCGGTGCGTGTACGTGCGTGCCCAAGATCCTGGGAGGAGAATGGAGGAGAAGGGATTGTGGCGTGGCCATCCCCCCACGGGGGTGATTTCTCGCTTTCTGTCTCTCTGTCTCTCTCTGTCTGGCGAGCGCACGCGCCCTATAGCAAACCCCCCCAAAATAAATAAATAAATAAATAAATAAATGGACAAAGTTAAATAAAGTAATTAAAAAAAGAAAAGAAAAGAAAATATTACCCACTAAGAGGATGGCCACACCACAATCCCTTCTCCATCTTCCTTTTGGAATATTGGGCACACATGCACATGCGTCCCACGTGTTTTCTTCAAGCCGCCAGGTCCAGGAGACAAACTGCAGGGTTGGCCATGTGGGGTCCAACTGCCTCCACCTGTGCCACCTGCTGGCCCACTGAACAGGAGGGGAGTGCTAGGCTGACTCTGCCTGGGCAGGGAGTCCTCCACCAGAGGAGAACAGGGCATGACTGCCCCGCCCTGGTGGCAGGCACTGAGGGGAGGAAGGTGGGCGGAGCTGGGCTGTTTGCTCAACCACCTCCCAGCTCCCTCATGCCCTTGCTGGGTAGCCTTTTTCATTTGTTTCCTTAGAGAACTCCCTCAGGTACAGGGACTTGCGATACCACACGGTGGGGAGACTCCCCACTGGCTGGAGTCTGCCTCCTCTGTCTTACCAGAACTAGCACCAGCCCAAGCTGTCTCTTGTTGGCCCCAGTACCAGCGCTTTGCAAATCTGTCCTCAGGTACTCGGATGACACACTTTCAAGTGGGTCTCTCCTTCCATTCCTCCCAACATAAGTCCCCATTGTGGTCACAGACGTGTCTGCTTTAATTCCCAGCTCCTCACAGAGAAGGTAAGCCCCGAGAGGATGGGAACCTTCACACCCAGCCATGCACAGCCTGCAATTGGCACTGTGAGTAAATGCTTAGGGCAGGTGTTCTCGTCTGCATTTTGCAGATGACATGGTGGCTCGGAGGAGGAACATGACTTGTCCAAGTGCCACAGGCGGGAAGTAGGAGAACCAGGACATGAACAACAGCAAACACGTCACAGCTCTTGCCAGTAAGCTCTTCATAACTTGGGATCCCCGCAGTGAGCCTCCGAGGTGGTTTACCAATAAGAAAACGGAGGGGGACCAGCAGTTGGCGAAAAGCCTATGTCACTGAACTCCCATGTAGCCGACTGTGGTTTGAGTCCCAGACCCGGTGGCTTAAATTCATGCTGGGCATGTGTGTGTGTGCCCAAGATCCCGAGAGGAGAATGGAGGAGAAGGGATTGCGGCGTGGCCATCCCCCCAGGGGGTGATTTCTCGCTTTCTGTCTCTCTATGTCTCTGTGTCTTTCTGGCGAACACACATGCCCTATAGCAAAAACCTCTCCACAAAAAAAGAAGAGAAAAAAAGAAAATGGAGGAACAGGGAGGGACACAGGCTCGGGTGGGCCTGGTGCCCAAATTCATGCTTTTAACTATTCATGCTCTGAGTGCCAGTTAGGGACCAGGCTATATGGTCCCCCGGGGTGCCTGGAAAATCAGATTCCAAGTTCTTGCTCTTGTAAGCTGAGCCCACATCCATCCAGACTGTCCTCTGCCCTTCCCCACCCTGTCCCTCCAGGCCATACCGGGCACACCTGGCCGCCCGCCCTCCCAGGGCCTTACCTGCCAACGGTGGGGAGATGAGCACAGACGTGCCGTCCAGGACAGAGAAGAGGCCCAGGGCGCTGGGAAAACGCTCCATGGGGACAATGTCCATGAGGACCTGGAAGATGAGGGCGCCAATGACGCTCATAGACACGCTGTACACCAGGCAGTAGCCCACCAGCACCGGGAAGCTGGCCGACGCCGCGCACACCAGGTTGGTGAGTCCGTTGAGCAGGACCGCCAGGCTGAACAGGTACTTGCGGTGGCTGGCGAAGACCGGCCGGCCAGCCACCAGCCCGGCCAGGGGCCGCAGGAAGATGTTGCACAGGCCGATGATGGAGATGAGGAGGGCCGCCCGGTTCTCGTCCACCCCGTGCCGCATGGCGTAGGGCACCAGGAAGACGTGCGGCAGCGGGAAGCCCAGGGTCATCCACATCACCCCCAGCGTGTACACGCAGTAGCCTGAGTTGTGCCGCAAGACGTCGAAGGCCAGGTGGCGCTGAATGGTGTGACCACACGCCGCGAGGCAGCCACGGGCAGGTGTCTTGGGGGGCAGAAGGGGACCTTCTTTGGTGTCAGAGGCCATGTTGGTGGCCACGGGCCTCATAATGGCCCCACAGACGCAGCAGTGGAGAAAGACCCCACCAAAGATGAGGAAGGTGCCCCTCCAGCCCAGGTCCTCCAGGAGGTAGTGGGAGAGCAGGGGCCAGAGCGTGATGCCCAGGGAGACACCCGCCGAGGCCAGGGCGTTGGCCAGCGCCCGCCGGCGGACGAAGTAGAAGCCCAGCACGGAGATGCTCGACTGGAAGCTGAAGCACATGCCGAGGCCTGCGGTGCGAGACGGGGCCAGCTTGGTGGTGTTCTGGGGCTTCCCCCCACACCCGCAGTGGGCTCCACGGTTCTAGCCCAGACCCAGTGCCCAGGGACTGAAGAAGGAATCAGCGTGTCTTGTCACCTCCCTGTCAGTACCCCCCATGGCGGCCAGGGGCACCCAGTTCTCAGAACTACACCGGAGTGGTTTTAAGCCCAAATAGGATTAAGTCCCTTCCCCTCAACACCTTCCAAAGACTTCCATCACACTCGGAAAATATCCAGGGCGTTTCCTGGGCCCCAGAAGGCTCCGTGCGGTCTGCTCCGGCCCAGCTTAGATGCCATCAGGCCACTGCCTGTCCCTCACCACCATCAAGCCACACCAGCTTTCTCCACCCCTGACGCCAAGTTCTTCCTACCTCGGGATGTTCTTAGGTGCCATTCTGTCTGAATGTCGAGTGCTCCCCCAGGGTGTGCAGTCCCATCCCAGCTCCGATGCCACCTCCCAGAGGGGCCTCCCCAGCTCCCCACCCGCCAGCAGAGCACGCAGGAGGGACAGCTCGCCCAGCCAGCCCTCGGGCTGCCCGCGATGCTGCTACGGCTCCTGTGTTTACTCGTCGATGGGTGACCATCGCCCTTCCTCCTCCTCGGTGCACCCCACCCCACCTCCCCAGCCTCAGGCCCGGTGGCCTTCCTGCCTGTGCCGATGCGTGTCCCAGCAGTTTACCCTCCACTTCCACCCTGTCTCCTCAGTGTCCCTCCATCAGTCTTTGTCTCCTCTTTACTAGATCGGTTTCCTTCTTTGTTATTTCTTCCATTACAAAAAAAAGAAAAAGAAAGAGAGAAAGAAGAAAGAAAGAAAGAAAGAAAAAGAAAACAAAAATGGGCCAGCATGGCCTGGTATTAGGGAGCTGGCTCTGACATGGCCAACCATGTGGTTCGAGTCCCAGATCTCGTGGCTCTGAGAAACACACCAGGTGCATGTGCTCGCATCCCCAAATCCCGGAAGAGGTGAGCAATGGAGAAGGGATTGGTCATTTCCCTCTTTCTCTGGAGAGTACATGTGCCCTCTGGCAAATAAAAAAAAAAAAAAAAAAAAAAAGCCCCCTTGATCCCACAAGCCCTCCTGGGCATGTTTCTCGTCTGTCTCTGCCTCCTGTTCTCCTCCTCCTCTCTTCCAAACCTGTTCCAGGGAGACCTTCACTCCCAACTGCATCGCACTAGCTTTTCCTGACAACTCCCAATGGCAAGTCCAAGGGTCAGGCCTGGCCCTCTCCTTATCTGATCCATCGGCAGGTTGACACACTTCCCCATTCCCCTTCTGACCTGCCCAGAGCTCTGACGCCGCAGTGCCCAGGCTCGGCCCTCAGGCCACCCTCACTCCCTTAGTGACAGTACGTGCTGACTCATCCCATGACCTGGCCTGGGGCCTCGCCCTTGAATTTAGCCTGGACACATCCGGATGAGCTCCCACCTTCTCCACACCTGCTCCCGTCCTGGCGTCCCCATCCTAGTTAGTGGCCACTCCAGTTCCCCAGTGGCTCAGGGCAAAGGACCTTGGTGTCACCCTCCTGGCTCTTCTTCGTGTACCTCACGTGCAGTCCCAAGCCTCACACCTGGTGAGCTATCACTGCCTCCCTGGACCTGTCCTGCCTCTCCTGGCCTAGCCCTGCGTGCGCTCTCAGCCCCTTAGCTGGGGGGCTCCATGACTCTGCTGGATAATGGCACTGGCCCCTCTGCCTGCACCTTTTACTCACTGGAGCCCAGCCAGCCTCCACCCGGCCTCCACCCGGCCTCCGCCCGGCCTCCTCGATCTCCTTGCTCATGCCCCTCTAATGTCCCAGTCCCTTTGCTGCTTCTGAACTTCAAGGCTTCCCCAGGACCCCCGACCTCCCTCAGGTCTCTGCTCAAACCTCTCTCCGAGGCCTTCCCTGCCTGCCTACGCGGCTTTGTCTGCAGCGAGTGTCCTTGTATTTACCCGACTTGTTTAACGCTGCCCTAACGGGGGCCAGGACGCCATTACGTCACCCATCCTGTCTCCTGCTTGTCCCGTCAGAAATGTTCACACACTCTCACTGTCTGTTTGCGGGGACAGTTTCAGGGGACTGCAAAGCGCTCAAGACGGTGTTATAGTCACCTGTGATGAATCCTGCTGTGAGGTAGAGCTGGCCAAGGGTACGGGAGAAGGATCCGGCCACCATGCCCAGGCTGGCCAGCACGCCGCCCAGCATCACCGTCACTCGGCAGCCGAAGTGTTCCACCAGGACACTGCACAGGGGCCCTGTGGGAAGAGGCGGCCAGCAGGTGGGTCGGTGTGGGGTGGGGGGAGCCACGACTGTGTCGGGTGACTCAGAGGGCCCCGGCCCTGGATTCTGGTCCCCACGCTGCCACCACCTGGCCACGTGCCCCCACAGCAGAGGGGCTGGCCCAGCCCTGCACCACAGCCACTGAGGCCGGTCCCACCGGGGCGATGTGGGGTCGGTTCCTGACTGGTCTGGATACCCCTTTGCTTAGCGCCTGTCTCGGGGGGTGTGTTGTCTCAGACGTCTGAATCATGGCGTGCCCAGTCCCATCCTCAGAAAGGCTGGCCGTGGCCCTCCTGCCATGTGCCGCCTGTGTGCTGGGGAAGCCTGGGCCTCTACACCCCTCGCTCTGGCCTCTGGGAACAAGTCAGGCTGAACACCTCTCCCCTCCTCCACACCTCCAGCCACCCCCTAAGTCCTAGGACACTGACTGGCTCCGTGTGGAGTGCCCCCCGCCTGTCTGCTTCCTCAGCCCTCTCCCTGGGTGGAAGGAGCCAGTCCGGGCTGGCTGCGCCTGGGCGCCTTGCAAGGTCCCGTTCTGCGTGCCCTGCCCCCAAGCGCACGATGGAGTTTCTCCAGGTTTCTCAGGGTACAGCCAAAGGGACGGGGAGAGCGGGTGTGTACGAGACGTGTGTGTGCACACCTGTGTGTGCATGTGTGTGCATCTGGGGTGGAGAGGGAACATGTGTGAGCCAGAGCGAGTTTGGGTGTCACAGAGAAAATGAGCAGCCCCTCCTCAGAATAATGGAGCAGAGGCTGGCGACCAGTAGTCTGCAGCCGCAGGGGGACAGGCGGGGCCGTGGAGTGCACATGACCGCTGACCCACACGTCCTTCCCACCCCTGACACTTGCCTAACTTACAGAAGGTGACATTGGGAAAACCTTGAGTCATGGAGTTGGGGGTGTGTCTGGGATGTGGGCCAGCTCCCTGGCTGCCTGCTTTCCTTGCCTCTGAAAATGTGGGGGCAGGAGTACTTAGGATCAGCCTGCAAGTCTGAAGTGTCCACAGTACCCTGAGTGAGCACAGGCTAAGGGGTGTGTGTGCGTGTGTGTGAGAGAGGCAGGAATCCCACACTGACTGAGATGCTGGTGTGCCAGCTAGGGGTGGTGGCAGGGGCTTGGGGACATACCTCAGTTCCTTCTGCCTGCCTCAGAAGGAGCTGCATGGGAGTCCCCTTCCTTGCCCCAACCTCGCAGGCCTGAAGTCTAGGCCTGGCCTGGCCTTCTCCCCTGCCCTGAGCCCAGTTCGCAGAGGCTGGATTCGGGAGCCATTCCTCTCTCCCAGTGTGAGGGAGGGCCTGGGATAACAGGCAGGCTGCTAGTGCCAGGTGGAACGTGGCTAGGACGTAGCCAGGGAGACGGGGGCAGCTGAGGCAGGCGAACACACACGTGGGATGGGTCCCGCGGGCCAGCACCACTCCCAGGTCTCCTTGGCACTCCCCGATCAGCCGAGGGGAGGTCCTGGCACCGGGGCTACTGGGGAGGACCTTCCCACCCTGTCCTATTGCTGGGATCTGGGTGAGGCAGTCACATTCCTCAAGGAGCCATCTAGGTAACAGAGGCCTCTGAGACCCACAATAGGTGGGAGCCAGGAGCAGGGGAGGCACACCCCAGCCTTTGCCCCACCCCGCCTCTGCAGGGAGCCCCAGGAAGAGATGGGGCTCTCTCCCTGCCCTCCCCCATTCCTGGCATCTTCCTCAAGTCCCCTTTACCATCCTAAAGCCCTGGCTGAGGGTTCTCCGAAATACTAATCATTTAAAGCCTCCTGTAGTTCCAGGCCCCACACCCCGGGGCCTATGCAATCTTCCCCCCTCCCCCCCTGCAGCCCAGCCCAGGCTCCCGGAGTCACCTAGTCCAGCGGGATTCCATCCAGGGCCAGCCTGCTGAGGTCAGATGAGATCTCGGGAATGTACCAGAAGGATTCCAGCCCACCTGAGCCTCATCATGCCCCACCCCCTCCCCAGGCGGCTCACCCCCAGTGTGGAGCACCGCCAGCAGAATGGAGGGGAACCAGGAAGTCTCGCTGTTGCTGGCCTGGAAGTCATGCTGCAGTTCCATGAAGAAGATGCCGATGCACGTGGGGAAGCCCAGGGTGAGGCCCTGTGTCACCAGGGTGGCCAGCAGCACCACCCAGGCCCAACTGCCGTCTGCATGCTCCAGGGCCCGGGGCATCCTTCACTGGTGATGTTTCCGCGCCACTGCAACCACTGCCTGGGTAGGGGACAGAGTGGAGCCTGGTGGCCAGCAGTACTGGCCCTCTCCTGCCACCTTCCCTGAGTGGCCTTTCTTTTACCCCAGAACCAGGTGTCACCACCCCCTGGGAGGTGGCCAGAGGCCCGCACTCTGGCCTTGGCATCTCCTTTCACCCAGTTCCCAGAGCCAGCCTGGCAGGAGGGGCAGGGCGGGTGGCAATCCGTGCCACAAGGCAGCGGGTGGAATTCGTCCTAGTTGTGACGTCACTCGGCAGCCAGCAGGTGGGACCTCCTGGCCCAGTCATAGCCCCCAAAGGCAGACGCCTTTTCAACCATTCAGGTCCTGCACGGCTGCAGACTTTCACAGTGCCACAGCGAGGTCAGGTTCCTGGTGCCTGCCCGCCACACAGGGGCGCACACAGCACAGCAACGGGGAGGCACGTGCACACGGCCCCACACAGACACACGCAGGCCCACAGACTCATCTTTTTAGAAGAATTTTTTTTAATTTAACTTTATTTCTAATTTGACTAAAGAGGGACAGAGTAAGAGAAAGAGAGAGAGAGAAGCGAGAAAGCAAGCCGCCAGGCCCAGGATTCAAACTGTGATCGGCCACGTGGGAGTCCAGTGCCAACTGCCGGCCCCTACAAACTCATTTTTTAAAAAAATTTAACTTTATTTATTTTAATTTGACCAGAGAGGGATAGAGTGAGAGTGAGAGAGAGGAAAAGTGAGAAAGCAAGCCACCAGGTCCGGGACTCAAACCGTGGCCGGCCATGTGGGAGTCCAGCACCCCCAACCACCACGCCATCTACTGGCCCCCACAAACTCATTTTTAAGACATACATTTATGTAGACGCACATACACAGAAATGTCCAGAGACACAGAAACAGAGGCGCATATACTAGAGGCACACGCAAAAATACAAATAGAGACACACACAGTCACACGGTATGCAGGCAAACAGCTCACATACGCAGAGACACAGTCGTGCAGAGACATACAAAGAGACACACACATACATGCACACAGATACACCCTGACATAAACACCGGCAGGCAAGCCAGGGACACCCATGCCATATAGGCATACACACACAGATACACAGGTACGAAGTTGGCACGCATGCGTACGTGCGCGCGCGCGCGCACACACACACACACACACACACACACTCAAGTGTTTGGGTCAGAAAGGTGTAGCGTCCTACCTCAGCTCAGCGTCACCACCCAGGCCACTCCTCCTATTGCAGAGCTGCCATGACCAATTCTCCAACGTCCCAGGGCCTCCTCCCGAAACTCAGGTGCTTCTCTGACACCTTGTCCCGGCTGCGGCCCTGTCCTCAGACCTCGCTGGCACTCAGGGTTCCAGCAGCAGCCGGCTGTGGGAGGACCCAGCCTGGGCTTGAGTTGAGTCAACTGGTCCCACGAGCTGTTCCTTCGGCTTCCCTCCCCTTAGTTAGCCCCAGATCCCGGGAAGATCCATGGGAACTCCGGAAACTACCAGAAACATGAAACTCCCTCTTCCTGCCAAGCCCAGCACCCCACACCTTCCCCCGAGGCCCAATTTAGCACAGTACCTAGCTAGATCCAGTCTAAACCGCCCTTCCTGGCTCTGACAGCCCTCCCTCCCAGAGGACCCCAGCCCTGCCAAGGTGAGAGTCTCCTTCATCACCCTCAGGGCGTGAGTGACCCCATGTGCAGGGAAGGGAGCACCTCCCACTCGGGACCTACATGGGACATGTGGCCCTGCAGATCTGGCCTGGCCTCCTCCTGGTCGGTGCCAGATCCAGGCCATACCTGCCACAGGCTCCTCCAGTAACTGGCTCTTGCCCCTTGCAGGACTTCTGTTCCCTCCGCAAATAGGCCACAGGCGCCACCTGATCCCTCACTGTGCTGCCCCAGTGTCACGCCCTCACCGGTCCCTACTGTCCCCTCCCC